AATAAAAAATTCAATTTAAATTTAAAATTTTAATTATTTTTTAAAATTAAAATTAATATTTACTTTCTCCATATATATAATTTTTTTTTGTTCACTTATAATTGTACCTAAAAATAATTTTTTTTTATCCTATGAATTTTTTAAGGACTTTAGTTCTGCGATTCTATAAAAATGTGCTTTTTGTCTAAAAATATCAAATGATAATATAAAAGGAAAAAATATATATATATTAGTTTCTTTTTTTTTTTTGTTTTTGACCAGGTAGATGATTAGGAAATTAGTAGAGTTAGTTTGTTAGCAGTTGGAATTTTTCTAGGAAAGTGAAACTTCCATCCTCTCATTTAAGGCGCACGACCATTAGGTCGCAAGTTGGTGGAGTTCACGGCGGTGGCAGAGTTCGAAACCCTGACCTCCGCCTTACCCAAGCCTTAAAACTTGGAGGCCAACCAATTGAGTCACAGGCCCGGTTGACATATATATATATATATTAGTTTCTGGAGATTGACCTTAGTAGAATATTAATATTGGTCCGTACGATACTTTGGTGAAAAAAATTTATTATATCATCGAGTTGTATGTTTTAAAAAAAAAATACTTAGTGATTAAAGACGTTAAGAAAGTAATTTTTTTAATATATTTTCTAATTTTATTATTACTTTTATAATTACATGTTAATGTTTTATATCTAAATGAATTATATGAAAAAGAAAAGTAAGTATCATATTTTTTAAAATAAAGTAATTATCATATTTTAAGTTTACATGAAACGCACATCAAAATTTATATTTTAAATTTAAATTTAATTATAATATTTAAATTGACCTTTAGACCCAATAATTCGACCACAAATCTTAAAGTGTTTGGATAAAGTGATCGAATTTTCGAATTTCACCACCATTTTAAAAACTCTTTTCTCTCATCCCCAAATTATATACTGTTCAAAAAAAAATTTAATTACAATATTCATATAAACATCTAATTATTATAGCTCATGTCACCTCAAAATCTTATCTATTAAATAATAATAAAGAAGGCTGGTGGTCCATGGCCTACAAATTAATTTCCTTTTTTTTTTCTTTAGGTAAATAATTAATTTCCATTTATGATCCATTCAATTTTGGTTGAATTATTTTGTTTGAATCAACGATCTACTATTCAAGGTTTGTTATTTTTTAAACCGAATTAGATAATGAGATGTGATTTTTTCCTTTTTTTATTTATATATTACAAGACTATTTAAGTTTTAAAGCTTCGACTTTAATAAGTCTTTAAGTTTGTTTCGACTAATTTTTTCTATATAATTAATAAATAATGATAGATATTTAATTATTAA